ATAGAGGCAGTTAAATGTGTGGGGTAGTTTGGGTAGAAAACATCTTCTTAAATCAGTTAGTTGTCTACAGAAGAACACATGCTGTTCTACTGTCTCTGAGGGGTAGTCACATAGTCTAGTGGGCAGGCAGCAGACTGCTTTACTCCAATTCGGTTGAGATGTTGATTGAAGGGTACATGTTGAGTTCTAAGTTGGAAGATTATGGATTGATCTCCCCTCTTCGACTCATTGATTGGATCTTTGACTAGTGGTTTATTCACGTGGCCATACATCACCCTTCCTGTCGTACCTGTGGCCCAATAGTTCGTCCAGTCTTCCTTGAGGTTTGGCTTGATTCGATGTATCGATACCCCGATACCTTCTTGGTACCGGAATCGAATCGATACTTTTGAAAAGGATATGGGGACTAACAAAGATAGTAAATAACAAGATGGGCCACTCAGCCAAAAAAGTGTCCGCAGGAAGTATGCTCTTTGCTTCAGATGGCGCTGCAGTCTGTTTTGAAGCTCTCTTTCGTTTTTCCAGAAGAAGAATAAACCTCCTTGCGTGCGCAGATCGACTGCTGTTCATCAGCAGTTCGGGTACGTTCAGTGCGTAGTTTTAGTTTTTTTTTTTATTTTAATGACCTCTCGCCTTTCATTCTAAAGTCGAATTAAACGAAGAAAACCATCACCCTTTCCTCCGGAAGCGTTCTTCCGAAATTTATCCCAAAACATGCTAGTTTCACTTTGATTTTTTAAAACTCAAGGAGGGTAACTCTGTTCGCAAAGAGTGCGCTTTTGTGAATAGGGCGCCACCAAATTTCGAGGACACTTTTTTAATTGGCTCAAAGAGAGAAGTGGCCCATCTTGTTATGTACTATCTTTGGGACTAATTATTCACAGGCAATTCACTGATCCAAGGGATGATACTCTTCTTGTTGTTTTCAAATCCAATCGAAACATCCGGTTAAAAAAATAAACGCGCTCTTTGTCTATAAATCAACATGGCATCAGGAAAGACTAGTATAGTGTGGGAACATTTTGAGAAGGATAATCCTTCACAGGATAAGTGTTTATTACGCAAAAAACAACAACATTTGTATTCTCAGGGAACCCCACTAACATGCAAAAACACCTGGATAGGGCTCACCCAGTTGCAAGCAAAGAGGCAAAAGAAAAGATCACTGCTACAGCCCCTAAACGCGCTGATGCAACACAACAACAAACAATAAACACTAGTTTGAGTCAGGGTGTTCCCTATGATGGCAATGATTCCTTAAAAAAGAAACAACTAGATCGACTTGTGATCGAAATGATTGCACTCGACATACAACTTACATCCTATCAAGGTTGTTGATGATGCTAGGTTTCGAAACCTTTTGCGAGCACTACACCCCAGGTACAGGCTGCCCAGCAGGTGACAAGTCACCAAGGCCCTCCTCAGAACGCTGTAAAACTGAATGTGAGCGAGTACATGCTGAGTTAGCAACATGATGATGTTGCGCTGACTACCGACATCTGGACTTCAAGGGCAACCCAGGGATATCACACAGTCACTTGTCACTGTTCATTTCGTGAACCAACTGTGGCACCTTGAATCGCTTGTCATTGATACGTGTGTGATTGAAGGCGACCACACAGGCGACGTCAGTGCCAAACTGCTGCAATAGATCGTCCTAAAATGGAACATTCCAGAGAAGGTTAAAGTGGTTGTCTCAGACAATGGAAGCAACATTGCGGCCGCACTGAGACAGCTAGGTTGGCGGCACACACCCTGAACCTTGTAAAACATGCGTTGGACGGAGATGAAACTGTGAGAAAAAATGTGGTTAAAAAGGTGAATGGCATTGTTGTTGTTTTTTCAACAAGAGTGTGAAAGCAACTGACAGGCTGATGTAGATACAACAGGATGGTGGAGAACATGACCCAAAGAAACTGAAGCAAGACTGTGAGACAAGATGGAACGCTACCTACAGTATGTCGAAACGGTTCCACGAGATCCATCGATATGTGCATGCAGCCATTACCCTTTAGGAAAAGGAGGGATGTGCATATATCGGAAGTTGAATTGGCGACCATCGAATCTTGCTTGAAGGTAAATGATGATGATGATGACGACGATGATGATGATGATGATGATGATGATGATGATGATGATGATGATGATGATGATTTTGTTTTTTGTTTCCTTAATGGGCCTGACGGACTTCACGAAGAAATCTTCGAGCGAGAGCGAGGCTCTTTTTCGGCTCCATTGTCAATATTATGCTTAGCGGCACCTCCACTCGTCCAAATAACTCCATTCGAATTGCCATTGTTCCTGGACAATCAAACATATGCTCGATATCCTCCTTTTCATGGCCGCATCTTCGGCAACATGGGCTGAGCTCTTCATTAACAAAGTTCTTATACCATCTTAAACTCCAATGATGGTCCGACCGCAGTCTCGCTAGCTCAACCTGGTCCCAGCGACATGTGAAAGATTTTTGTTCCAGGTGCTGGTACTTAGTTCTACATGGTGGGTCTCTGATTTCTCTCTTGATTATTGGAAAGACTCCTCTGTATGTCGTTGGTCGTCTGTCTCCT